AGAATATATATGGGAAACGAAAGGCGTGTTACGAGAGAGATCTCGATGGTATCTGCCAAAATAATCGGCATGGGTCCTCACTCCCCATGCCTTTCAATTCTAAACTATTTCACGTCAAACGACAAAAACCTTAACTTGTACGTTTCTGTAGATTCGGACAACATCATTAAATGAAATGGTAACTATACAAATATATATATATATATATATATATATATATATATATATATATATATATATTATAATAATAATAATAATAATAATAATAATAAAGAGTGGTGAAGAGAATCCTATGATTTTTTTATTTTATTTTTTTTTACCATAAGTTATTTGCATCCAAATAACAATTTAGGAAGTGGGCCATGACTTATTAGGACGGTTGATTTTAGAATGGTGTAATTATAATAAAAATCAGTTTTATGGGACTTTTAAAATATCTATGCATTTTAATAAAATATTTTATAGGACCAAATCAAAAAGGGTCTTATCTGAAAGTGTTATAATAGATTCTAGTAGGGACGGATGCAATGTTAAAAAGGAGGGGGGAAGGAACCCCGGTCAAAAACTCAAAAAAAAAAATTATAGGTTAAAATTTAGGTTTTACATGATTTACTTTTTACTTCCTCCCATTACATTTTTCCACGGCCCCCCAACCCCAATCGAAACCAAAAAAATATGTTGAAATCAATCAAAAAAACCAAAAAAATTTCTCGAAATCAACCAAAAAACTTTAAAATTCCCTCGAAAATGTTGTAATTAGGTTAAGATCACATCGGACGATTTTGCGGGTCTTTAGTCTACCTTAAAGATGATCCCGTTGAACAAAAATCCTGGATCCGCTACTGGTTTCTAGAACATTTTTAAGTGTTTTAACAAGTTTATAAGGATGTATTTAAAATAAAGTGTCGTATTAGCTACTTTATACGATATTTTTTGAGAAGATGTTTGATAAACATAAGTTTCCTATAAAAAGGTAAGTTTATAAGACATTTTTCAAAATGGTCGTATTAGAATAGCTAATACGACACTTTATTTTGAAAACGTTATAAAAAACTTGTTAAAACGCCTAAAAACGTTCTATAAATGTTTTGTAACGCTTTAGAATGACGTTTTATAGTTTATTCTTATAAACTTCAGTCATCTAGTGAACTATTGTAAACCTCGTTCGCCTCTCACATGATACCTTTGGGCTGAGACAATATAGGTCGGCTCGAGGGTTTGCGGTTAAGAAAACCCTTTTTCCACAAACAATTTATGAAATAGCGTTTGAGAGACAATTTGGTTGGTGCCATACAATTTCAGTTCAACTTTTTTATTATCTTGAGAAAATCTCAGTACAATAACGTTAGATTTATACAACAAAGAAAATTGTTTAAGCGTCTTAATAGAATATTTTATACGATTTAATTTCATAGGACAAAACAAAAAAACGTCTTAAAATGTTTAAGTGTCATAATAGAATACTTTATATGATTAAAGTTTATAGGACTAACCAAAAAAACATCATATCTAAAAGTGTTACAATAGGTTATATGACGTTTTTTAGCATTTTAAGAAAGTTTTTAGATACTTTAAAAAATAAGGCATCGTTTTAGTTATTTTGTACAACACTATTTGAAAAAGTGTCGTATAAAAATATGGGGTTATAACCACAAGGGTGGTGTCTGATTGGTTTGAGCTTGGCTCCAAAGGTCAAAAGTACCTGGAGGTCCCAGGTTCAAATCCAAGGAGGAATAAAAATCCTCTTGTGATCACGGAGGTTCAAATGTGGTGACTCCGGGATATCTACAAAGCAAATGGTAGCCCTGAGATTAGTCGGCTCGCATAGCGTGTTGGATATCCAGGTTAATAAAAAAAATATGGGGTTATATGACACTTATCAAAAGTATCATACAAATTAGCTAATACGAGATTATTTTTAAAGTGTCCTAAAAAACTTGTTGAAACCCATAAAAACGTCATATAAACCTATTGTAACATTTATAAATATGACGCTTTATTGTCTGATCCTAGAAACTTAAGGCCTATAAAGTATGTTATTAGAGCACATAAACAATTTAAGTGTCCTATAAACTCAATTTTGTTGTAGTGTCTTAACCAAATAATCTCGTTTGACATGCCGCGAACTTATAAATTGGAGTACGAGGTAGTATCTTGACCAAATAATCTCGTTTGACATGCTATGAACTTATAAATCGGCGTACTGAGGTTCAAAACATGTCTCTAAATTTCTATCTAATGTTGGGTGATGAATCGATATATACTGGTCGACAAGTCGACCTTCACTCCAAGAAATCTTGACTTGGCAACGACGGTTTTAGGGGCAACGAACTCTGGACGAGACAACAAGTTACCCTCTAAAATGTATCGGGACTCTTTATCGTTGAACCAACTTTAAAAAGCGTCTAAAAATATATTCAGACGTCTTTTTATGAAACGTTTGTCGTGACCATGACCACCGACGCGACATCGCTCATCTCGGCATTTATTATCGCACGTGGTTGAAGGCATTTATGGTGCGTGTGTGTATATACAATTGCTCGTTTGTTTGTTTTTATTTTTGTCCTTTTAGGCTTTTGCCACATAATATATTAATTGTTATTTTTTTCAATATACACCCTTAACTTTTTATGTATTGACAATTTTGTCTCTAGTGAAAATGTTTATTCCATGTAGGCCCAAAAAAATTTTGGAACCATTCATGAGGTGGCATTTGCTATCACTAAAAAAAACCTCCATTACAATAAAATTGATTTTATAAGACGTCTAAAATGTCTAAACATCTGATAAAATATTTTATAGGACTTAAGTTTATGGAACCAAACCAAAAAGTGTTACAACATGTTTATAAGACGTTTTCAGGCGTTTTAACAAGTTTTTAAGTTATGGGGTGTTGTATATTTCAAATAACTGATCGGTTAATATACAGATAACACATTCTTGTAGGAAAGTTACGATTATTATATAAGATTTGGAAACGAGGAAATTGAGTTGAAATATGGGAATATCGAAGTGGGGTTCACGAGTACCGCTATCAAAATCTTTCCACCAGCTCTGATGCGTAGACATGCATGCATGTTCGTCGAAATTTGCGTGTTGATTGTGACAATGGAAACTGCTTTGTCTTGTATGTCGACGAAATTGCATCTATACCATGTATATCTATACAACGACTAATTGTCTTTTGTGCTGTCTTTCTACTTTTTATCTTTTGCCACATGTTTTATTTATTTATTTAATTCCATTTGCTACCCTAACTTTTTATGCTTTTGCACTTTTTGTCTCGTATGAAAAAAGTTCACTTTGGTCTTTTCAACGTGAAAGGAATTGTTACCGATCATTATCAACATGTTTCAACGAGTTTCTAAATCAGTATTTGTGATTTTGGTATTCACCAAATTAGAGATTATCATTTGTGGGTTTGGATGCAAATATGGGTCGAGTCTAAGGAGATGTTTGGTTGGTTTTCCATTAAATTTATATGGATAAAGTTGTTGTGTTGATTAATCTGTCTGTATAGAATAAGAACGTTTTTATTTATGAGAGTTTTTTTTAGATGAAATAAGCATGTATTTTAATTGGGAGTCATAGGTTCAAAAAAATTTGGCTTTCTACATAAAGTTCACCCTATAAGCTTACTGAATAAGCCACTTTTTATATCATTAAGTCACTATCAAACCGTCATGTATAGCTGACCAAATAAGATGTGAGTCTCATTAAGCTGCTAACAAACAGTAATATGTTGGAGCATTCAGAATGATATATGAAATGAAAAGTGAAATTTTGTGCGTGATTTATCGTACTCAAACCAATAATAAATCATTTCATCAAACCCAACACGTCAACCGACCATTTTTTTTACGCGTAGAATTGGAGTTGGCGGGAAATCTTGAAGTGGGGTACAAATCAGATGATCACGAACGACAAATATTCCACCGTTTTACGACAAATATTCCACTGTTTTCGCTATACGTGTGTACGATATATCCATCATAACGTGTGGACTAACCGCCACCACCACATAACATCGCAGCTTTCGTGAGTTGTCTGCAATTTGTAGCAACGAATACAACGACTAAATTGTCGTTTGTGTTGTCTTTCACCTTTCAAGCTTTTACTACATGTTTTTTTTTCGCATTTACTCCCTTAACTTTTTATGTTTTTACAATTGTGGCCCAGAAACTTTTGGAACTACTTTGAGGTGTTGGTGGGGATATTAACAATTTGATTATATTTCTATATTTTTTTTTATCTTGTATATATTACATCTTTAATAGAAACCAATTAACTGAAATATTTATAGAAATGATGAGAGTTTATCTACTATGATTTGGATATTTATGAAAGATGATCAGAGTACACTTATTATGTCAACAATTTATATTAGGAAACAATCAAGATATTCATTACATAGATAAACGGTTGAGATTGATTTCTAGTAACGGTTGAGTTTGTACCCACCTCTATATGAAATACCATAACGATTCAGTTAATGACAAGAAGATAAAGCAGAATATTACTACAAAAGTTTTGTTTGGTTGGTCAAAAGCTAGATTTTTGAAAAACTATTTATATTAGCGTTTCAATAAGTTTAAAGTGTTTTTTTCCCAATCATGTCCCTTATATTTTTTTTCCGATTGTTTTTTCAACATGTTTTTTAAGTCATTTTATATTATAAACTAACATGGGTTGTTCCAATGAAAATGAGAGTTATTGTGTGAAGGGTAAAAAAGATCTTTACCCTTTGATCAATCATAATTGAAGAGTTCCACTAGATCAACACTAATGAGAAGCACCATATTAATTCTGTTCTAAAGCGTAATTCATTGGTTGATTTGAAATTAAAAGTGATAGATGGTCAAAATATCTTCTTACATTTCTCACCTTAACTCCTGTTACCACACAATCTTTTGTTTTGTAAACGTGACCTAAATATAAAATTTAATCATAGCATTGAACGACATTAATTGAAACATAACCTCGTATAACATTAACCGCAACAACATAAGAATCATGTTCGTATTTTATACCAAACCAACAATACAAACTACATAAAAAAAGCGATCTTCAAAATACCAAGGGGCTATTTACTTACAGCTTAATGACCTAGACGATTTATTCATTTAGCCATATAGGGGTGTCTTTATGGCTTAATCATTAAGCCATTAAGCCAAAATGGCTATATGGAATAAACCAGGAACCCCAATCTTGTGTCCATTAAGCCACCTCAAACAAATTAATACCAGAACTAATCCATCCCTCTCTCTTTCCCTCCCTCAAACCCATCCTCCCGTCCTGCATGGAATAAGCTAGGACCTCAATCCTGTTTCAATTAAGCCATCTCAAACGAATTAATACCAAAAATGTAGTAGAAATCCAACCCTATCTCTTTACCTCCCTCAAGAACCCATCCTCCCATCCCTCAAACTGACAAATTTTAATAGACAAACAACTTAACTCACCCAGGGCTTAACGGAAAAAGAAAAAAAAAGCAAACCACCTCTAAGTTACTAGTCCTAACTTATGTCCGATCATTCTAACCCAATCTTCGACCTCATCGGCCTGCAAATGCAACCAAGCTTCCCTATAAGTAGCACTTTCACAAAAGATAACAAGTGCCATTTTGTGCAACGGATTTTTCGCTCCCCAACCAAGATTTCGTAACTTATCTTGACAATCCTTGAACGAAGGCCCATTATTCCTATCAATTATTAGTCTTAAAGCTTTCGACACATCTCCTTCAATGGTAAACATATTTGGGTTCTTTAAAGCTTTAGTCTTTTTGGTTGGTCTTTCATCTTTGGCATGAGAAGAACAATTAGGAGTTGAAGTTTCTGGTGCTTCATTCATATCTTCATTTTCTTCAATCAAGATAGGTTCAGCACAAGACCTGGATCTTGTAGAAGATGATCCCCCATCTTCAACCCTTTTGATAGCCACCTCCTCAAAAAGTTGTGTGCAAAGTGTAGGAAATAGTAGTGATGTACTCTTCAACGATTCTACGTATTTATTCCCCTGTATTAGAAAAAAAAAACCTGTTACTAGACGCAGATAACTAAGCTGAAGAAAAGAACATAGAGCACATAAAGATTGGGTTTATAGAACGTTTAAGATGTTTAAGTGTCCTAATTGCATACTTTATAGGATTAAGTTATGACCAAAACGATAAAGCGTCCTATTTAAAAACATTACAATAGGTTTATGGGACGCTTTGGGCGTTTAACAATTTTTTAGGACGTTTTAAAATAAAGTATCGTATTAGTTATTTTATACAGTATTATTTGAAAAAGTAACCTATAAACACAAGTGTCCTATAAAAATGGTTTATATGACACTTCTCAAAATTGTCTTATAAAATAGTTAATAGGACCCTTTATTTTAAAAACGTCATAAAAAACTTGAACAAAACGCCTAAAAGTGTCCTATAAACCTATTGTAACACTTTTAAATAGAACGCTTTATAGTTTGGTCTTATAAACTTAAGTCGGTATGCTATTAGGATGCTTAAACATTAAGCGTCCTATGAACCTAATTTTGTTGTAGTGACTAGTGAGAGTAAGAAAGTAACCTTCATTTCTATGATCCATTCTTCTTCCGATAGATTAAACGTGTTGGTTATAGAATCATACACGTTCCCGGATTTGTTTTTCAGTTTTGACCATGCTGAATATTTGCCTTTGAGATAGTCATAATGGTTCTTCATTTGTTTTTGATCGACAACAAAATTATGACTGCTTTTTAGCTTTTCTGCAACGTTTTTCCACGAAAACGCCTTGAGGCTAGCGCCTTTCCGTCCATTTTCTGCAACTTCACGAATACATGCTTCTAGGAAAGTCTTTACCACATTTTCACTTTTCCAACTAATCCTGACTTTTTTTATCTTTTGAGATTCACCAATTTGTTCCATACCTAAAGAAATAAAACAAAACCAACATGTATAATTCAAGCAAGTAATAGAATATGAACTTGAAGCATCAGCACTCATCTTAAAATTGCATCTCTGTCCATCTAACCATATAACCGTAAATGCAATCAACATAAACAAGTCGGAGAAAAAAACCATCTTGGTATGTTACCTTGACTGACTGCAAAATTTTCCTTTGTGGGCAGGGTTTGACATGTCAATAACACCCAAAATGATTTCTTTCAGCACTTGAAAAGAGTTTGTTGCCATTGTGATCTTAGCAAACAAATATGAAAAAAGCTCTTGAAGAAAAAGAATAACATCTTTAGTCCAATATAAAAGCATAACTCAGTGATGCGTCTGAACTCACTTTTGAACCACAAAAACAGATGACACCCTAACAATATAACATAAATGACAAAGGAACCAAAATGACTTCCAATGAAATCAAATTGCACATCAATTATGACATAGAGCAAGCCAAATGTGTAACTCCAAGCAACAAGCTGTTTACCATAACCATTTCCCATGTTAACATGCACATTTAGAAGTCCCTATAAGAGACTTGGGAAAATAATTTATGTGGTTAATACTAATCTACTAGGAGTGCTGTATCTGTCAGTGAACAAGAATCACATATGAGTTATCATTATAGGATAGGAACACAATGGCAAAACCAAAAGTAGCATTTAACTCCCAGAAAACATGCCTATCGAGTACTCAGCAACAAAGAACAAACAAGTTGAAGGAAACCAGAACTACAAAATTTGGGAAATTTCAATATTCAGAATTCTATTATTTCGGGAATAAAGATCCTTGTCTATCCAGTAACATTTGTATGAATAAACCTAACTCGGTCCCAATTCTTGATGTGCACCTTCACTTTGCAGCATTATGAACTCCATCAATATGCAAAATATATCTGGTGTATTAAATTTGTGGGACTGTTGCTGTTCAAAATTACGTATGGAATTCGGAAATCATCATTTGGCACTGCACAGAGTTTATTCAAGCAATCGACCATTTAACGGCACGATTCACATTTACTAAGTAACAATTAGGTGAATAAACAGAGGTCGGATCTTGCAAGGAACAAATTATAGGTTTTAATGCTGATCCCTCATCAATTATCCCTTATAATAATTAAAAAATTGATGAAATATACAAATTCAAGTTCCAAATAAGGGAATCTTCAAAATCAAATTTCAAGCCATAATTCTAGTTCATACAGCAATCGAACGATCCCAGCAGTCTGGTATAAACAGAAAAATGCAAGTAATGAAAGAAATTGAAAACAAAATCAGCAAAAATACAATATGTGATATGCAAATCGATAACAATTGCAACAAAACCCTTGTGAATGATTGAAGAAGATAAGAAACAGATTGTGGAAGAATTCTATCATATTATAATACGCGAATCAACATGAATGCAAGTGAGAATTTCCATTAAAGAAGACTCGTTTACCTCCTCCGATTATGAAATCGCTTCCGATGAGAACCCTAGCAAGCTATCCACTTGAAAACGAAACCCTTGTATTTCCCTTCTGAGCCAAGAAAACAAATAAATTAAATTAAAATACACTCCAATTATAAATTAAAAAAATTAACACACAATGATTTGTTATATTATATAAGATTTTGAGATCATAAAATGACACCGAAACTTTACGGTAAAACATTGTAAAAATATAAATTCTTATTAGATTTATATTTATAATCATAATAATGACGTGTAAGCTTAGGAGCCTTTTACTAGACGCTTACTCGGGTAAGTAAACACTAAGTCACATTATCTTACTGGATAAATATGGTAAGAACCAAGAATCTTACCCCGTAAGAACAAGACAATAACCAAGAATCTTACCCGATAAGTGAAGGTGACGACTCTTAACACGGTAAGCGTTTACCGGGATAAATTGTTGCATAAAATACCGTTTTGTTGGACTAAAACCTTACCCGGTAAGTAAACGCTTACCGGATAAGTGTTTGGTAAACGGCCCCTTAGTTGGCAAAAAATTTGGGTGATGTCTTCGTTAGCATGTCTACAGGTAAATCAGTTATTAAATAAACAAAAAGTTTGATTGTTTGATTGAGACTTCAAAATGATGATTCTCTAACATAACATAGAATTCAGTTGAAAATTGGTTTTATTTTAATTCAATTTTCCTATTACAATTCAACGGTTCAAATCATGAATCATAACTATTCAAGCCCATAAAACCTTAGCAATGTTTTTAGGCCCATTTTGGTAGATCTAATTAGCCCACGAGTTCACACAATAAAACCCGATAAAAGAAACCAATGGGCCGTTTACATAAATGCTTACAGGTAAACACTTATCATTAGAAGTCAATATTATAATTTATTTTTCGGATAAGATTATAGTACATCAAAATAATATCATATACAACAATTTATCCGGTATACACTTACCTGGGTAAAAGTCTTCACCCTAACTTAACTATTTTGGGGGTAGTTATGGAAATTTCAACCACAATCGGACCAATTTTTATTATTCTTGATATTTACTATAAATATCACCGTATTTTACTATAAATGATTGGTTTTTCAATTTCTCAAAATATTTATAGTTCTCATTTGAATTCTTCATAAAAGTAATATTTGTATATATTAACTATTTAAAGTTTCTCCAATATATTCTTTATAATTTTATCAACTAAAAAGACATAATTCAAATCTAAAAAAATTACATTCAATTCCGGCGTTTCCATTATTTGGAGATTTTAACATTAATTATATTATCAAAAATATTCAATATCGTTTAAATAAGTTTTATATAAAATAATTATACATTTATTTTATTAATAAGAAAAAATAATATAATAAAATATTTTTCTCTCTTTAAAAAATAAAATTAAGTGTTTTCCAAATTTATAGATTTTTTAAAATTCTTTCTTAATTTTTTCTATTTTAATTTTCTTTTTAAAATCTGCCAAAGCAAAAAAAAACTAATAAAAAAACTATTTAGTATTACTTTTGCTCCATTTTTGCTTATTATCATTAATGCCATAATTATGCAAAGCATTAAAGGAAAAAAAAAGGGCATTTAATGCATTTATTTGCATTAATTGTACCAAAAGAAAGGTATAATAATCCTCAAGGGATTATAAAAACGAAATTTTGTGAAACATTTTTCTGATTCTACTGTCAGAAATAAATCTTAAATTACAAATATCAAAAAAATAACAATGAAGGTTATTAGCAGCATACATGCAGTCTTCTTATTATTTATCTTAGCATCAGTAATAACGTCAACAACAGGCGATTTACGTATATTTTGTGGTATGGATGTGTCGTGATCTTTTTTTCTCGTTTTAATCTTTGTTTACTGCGTGTGACATTAATTTTGTGATATGTCGTTTGTGTTAGGTGGTGATGGGGATCCGAGTATTAAAACAATATGTAGGGCCGATGTTCCATGGAGGGATGCTGCTTGTTCAGGTTCATGCATGGCGTATTGTATCTTCTGGAGAGGGATGTGTGCGCAAGGAACATGCGACATTGCGAAAACATGTTCTTGCCGGTGGCCTTGTTAAAGTTTTGGAGCTTTTATCAGTTATTTACGTTTGTTTTATGACAGATTGACGGTTTGAAAGTTCTTATAATTGATGTTGAATTTGTGATAGATTGAAATCTGTTTGTGGGTTATTTTGTTGTTCGTGTTATATTTTTTGGTAACTAAATCTACTTAAAACGTGTGAAATTCATAGCTACGTATAAACTTTTCGCTGAATTTTTTTTTAATTAAAACATGTTGTTTTTTCTCGTAATCATATTCCCTCGTTCAAAGGGTAAGTTCTTTTCTGTAGATTGAAATTTATATTAAAGTGAATCGTTGTATATAGTAATAGAATATGAAGCCAAGAAATCAGATATAATTGAAACAAAATGACCAAGTGCTAAATTATCTGATGATACCAAAATCCGTTGAGGTGTGAACTTCACAAACATAAACTTAGATTGCTTGTATCAAGTGTATGGATCTGATATCACTAACAAGAATATCATTAAAACTGTTGTATATGAATATATCGTTCAGGATTGAGTATTACACAAACCCAATAGGATTCAGTAGTATCGGGCCAGCCCATATGAGCCCGTAAACAAACAGAAAAATTCAGCTCGTGAGTGAAAGAACCCATCTTAGTCATACTAATCCTAGTTTTGTTACATATAATCATAGAGTTGGGTTCATGTGAGACAATTACTTTCGTAAGACGTGAAACACGATTTTTACAATTGAAATTTCACAACAAAATATGGTGAAAGTAAAAAAAAAGTCGAATCTTCAGAGCAAAAACACTGTGAAAGTTACCTTCACGGTGTTTTGTTGTAAAGTTTCAAGTGTAAAAATCGTGTCTCACGAAAACAGTTTTGTCTCACATGATCTCAAGTCTATAGTCATAATTAAAAAATTTATCTTAATATCAACGGCTTTACGATTATCTTATTTATTTAAAAACATTTTCAAAAGTTCCTCAATAATCCATAAAAAATAGAAAAATAAAAAACAAAATCTTAAAAAAATATATACACAACTTCAATTTTTTTCCTTTTCAGATTCTAACAATAATATTATTAAAATATTCTATGTATTAAATATCATAAACCTTTAATAATATAAATTTTTCAAAATAAATTTCAACAGATCAGCAAATCTTCTCTTTTTTTCAAAAAGTAAGTGACTGTTTGGCTTAGATTGGGTCACGGAATAAAAATGGAAATGACTTTTCATTTCCTACGGTTTAACCTGTAATAAAAATTTGGGCTTCTGGAAGAATGAATTCATTATATTATATAAAACCAAACGGTTTTTTTATTATCATTCCTGTTGGTTACTGATTAATATCTCTAACCGAACACCCATTAAAAAAGACGATCTAAAACGTTAAAAATTTATTAATCGGGCGATTTTTAAATCATTTAATATATTTTTTTTTTAATTTAAACATGATGTTTGTATACTACAACATACAAACCAATGCATGTGTTGATTTTAACCTTTTCTGCTTAGTATTTAATAAAATATTAAAAGAAATAATCAAACAGTAGTTGGATCAACTTTTTTGGATTTGTACAGAGGGACTAAAAGTGGTTAATTACAAAAGTCAGGGGAGGTTTTCTGCAATAACGGATTAAAATAAAGTAACGTGCGTTGTCTTATACTCCCCTCTTCACATGTCGACAACCATTTGTCGTAAACTTTAATTTTAAAAATGGTTGTAGTGATTCCCAACTGTCATAACCGTCTCATTCCTGTCACCTCTCACCATCAAACTATTTTATACAGTATTATTTGATCTGTAAATGTCAATACAGTATTCGAGTTACTGGTAGAGTCTACTTTTCGTATATAAATATTATACACTTCAAAAAGAAAGTTATGATCCTGTGGTTGTAGTGATTCCCAACCGTCATAACCATCGTATTCCTTGCCACCTCATCTTCATGACTACCTACACCAGGTATATATCTCACTCAAAAGTTGGACTTAATATGAAAATAGCACTAATCCCTCGGACTCGAAAACTAATAACAAAAATGGCTTAACCCAATAGCCATCTGGGGTGGTGGATTGAAGCTCAACTTAGGTGTCTACTGATATTGGTTCAGCAGTATTCAGGTTATTGATGGGGTCTAGTTTCCTAGGAGGTTCATACTTTAAACCTCATGTGCATGGCCACATGGGTATTTTTTGTATATAAATATTATATATTTCAAAACTAATTAGCGATTTATGCAAATAAGAAGTACCCGCACAGCCATGCAAATCATATGTATCTAGAGGCAGATATAATGGGTTTTTTTCCGGGTGATTGCACCATTTAACTATAATAAACGAAACCATGGACATTTTTCAACAAATTATCACTAAACTTGTTGGTCAGTTCCACACTTTTCAAATACAAGGTCTTGTTTTCGAGTCTTTTCCTCAGGCAGTAGCATCCTATGTCAGGTTTAGTCTCAGACTGCTACAAATTGCCTAGGTGAACCTTTCCATAAAAAAGGTATCAGATTTATCTGGTTGGGTTCAAATCGACATAATTCAATTCCAACCCAATACTGTTGAAATATCTTACAACCCATTCAGATATCAGGTGGCTTCATTAGTATCCTTAACTTCTACAAAACGGCTTTAACCTAACAGATAAGACGTACATCGTTACAAGAATACAGAAAGATTCACCAGATCTTTGGATGAAAATGACAATAGATTAAGCAGTCTGCCTCTGGAGGAAGCAAAAACAGTTGTCTTTAGTAGAGAAATTGGGGTATTTTGGTCCACAAGCATCAGCCTGCAGCGATCATTTGGACCACTGAAAACTCACCCACTTCCTTCACTATCAACCATCCATGGAAACCATCATCTTATCTTATCTAAACAAAGAAACCTTTCCAACACCCAAAATGCAAATCGAACTTCAAATATATATAACAAAATACAGAATCCACCATCTTTCAAGAGTTAAAAATGGACAAACTAACAGTAAAAAATGAAGTCTAGAAATGGAAACAAAGAGGTTTTTGACATGATTTTAGTTACAGACCTGTTTTTACAGAGGTATTTCCAAACCTAGATCAGCAAAATACAAACACCCATTAACGACCACGACTAATCAAACTTAAAACAAACGAAAAACCGACAGAAATTTTTCAACCAAACCCATATGTAATAAGAACATAGCCAAAAGAAGGGGAAAAGATCTTCTTTCTTAAATACATCACACAAACCTAATTAGCTTAAGCCCATCAGCATCAGGTTGTCGTCACACTTATTGTATCGTTTCAACGCTCTTGCTCAGCTCTTCCAGCTTCTTCATCCTCATCTTCTCGCTTTCGCTCACCAGCTGCTTAATAATTGTTTATACCCACATAAAGAAAGCATGTTAGTTGATGTTTTGTTTACTGTTTTCCCCATTAAAAACAGGGGAAATTGACAGAAATAGTCCATCAGCAAATAAGGTTTGGTTTCAATTTTTAGCCATTTATCAGCCATTCATTACGCAGAAGGTTTACGCATGTGTAAGCCTTATTTTTCAGCAAAAAAAAAAGGTTTTCTGCATAAAGATCCAGAAAACTTATGCATACAGTGGAATCCTTAAGCAAAAACCTTACGTAAAAACCTCTTTCTTTCTTTTTTTTTTTCTTATGCATATGCATGAGCCTTCTGCGTAAGGATTGGCCAAAAAGTGAATTTGGGTCAGAAAGTGGCTAAAAAATGAAATCACTTATCAGGTTTAGCTATTTCAGTAAATTTCCCAATAAATAGGCATTTAACTTGGCACCAACCTCCATCAATCTTGTGATGAGTTGTACTTTCTCTTTGTTCTTTTCATTGAATGCATCCAGGGCTTCCTTATACTCCCTTTCCTGTGAAAAAAGCAATCAAGAAACAATTTCTAGAAAATGTAGAACTGAGCTGTATGACCAAATCAAGATATCTTGGTGTTCAGGAAAGGCGGTTCTACCTTTTTCTGACAGGTCTGTCCCAGTGGCTTCAACTCTTTGTTGACGGAATCAATCTTCTTACGAACGACTGAAACTTCTTTCTTCATTGGATCTGTTAGCGCTTCGAGTTCCTGATAATACATCCCATAGTTTAGTTTTTGAAAGATCCATTGAAGCACCACATAAAGAAAGAACAACCTTTAGAGCACCTTTTAGTTTCTGGTACCAAACGAACCCAGTATATCCCATCTCAGGTAGGGTCTAAGGAGGATAAAATGTGCGCAGAGCTGATCTCTACTTTTTAACTACTTATCAAGATTTAAAAGTAATTCACACCTATTTGACACGTAGAGCTCAACTTTTTTTAGAATTAAAGGCAAGCCACATGGAAACTCGACCAAATTTAGAATGTGATAGGGAGAGAGAGGTGGGGGTAGTAAATGCGAAATGGTACCAAAGATTGAAGCCTCCGAAATGGGGAAACGGGCTTTGTCATCTTGAAGGCAAACCATTTGGAAAGAGAGAAAGATCGGTGATCGGTAGTTAACGTCTTAAATTTATTTCATTTCGTGGTCTCCAACACCCCTAAGAAGTTGCTACCACTATGGCCAAGTGAAACCCCTTTGAATCTTTATCTAAAAGTGCCCTTCTATAAAGAGTGAAGGTTCCTACACACACATGTATATAGAGGGAGGTTCAGGGAAAAACTCCCAAAAATGTACATACCGGACAAATTACTAACAAGTTACTTGTATGCACATGTGCATATCATCCAGATGAACGATTACTAGGGTGTTTGGGGCTTGATGGTCGATGTCTAGCCAATGTAGGACTCCAACACAAACGATTCAAACCCTTAAAAAATGGGGAGTACACCACCATATCTCACCAACAAGGCCAATAAAGATTTCATTCATTCAAAATGTAACTTGCTAAGGACTTCATCATCATTTCTTCAGTTCACAACTACTCTATGACCCACCACCCTTGCTTTGATGAAAACTTAAATACTAACAATTCAGACTCCTATGATTCAATACACCCAATGAGTAAACAAGAAATTTTCAAACATACCAAAAATACAGAATTGAATGAAGATCAGAGTAAAAAGATGGTAGGAAGTTGCAGGTACCGAATCTTGGGAGAAAAACATCGGTTCCGGTAAGTTAACTGACCCGATTCATTGAAAACGACAAGATCTTACAACCTGAATGATGTACAGTTATAAACTATACTCTCACAGAACTTACAACCAAACTTTAGAAACCATTTACCTTCAAATTATTGAATCATAAAGATGAGAATGATTCAAGAACTAATTATGTTTACCAGAGCCATTAAAATAATACTGTTTAAGAGAATGAATTTAAGTAAATCTTCAAAAACCCAAATAACATTCAATTTCTTGATCCATTTCAGTTAGGTTTGAACCATTTAAAAGTAGATCTACCACAGAAGTTTTAGTCTTGAATTATACTATAAAAAACAAGAATTTATAAGCAAAATCCTCAGAGAGAAAACTCACAGATTGTAAACTAAAAATTTTATCCCAGACTAAAAGAAACCCTGATTTACTTTTCCCAAAAAATTCAGCTTTCAAGGAGTCAAAATTGAAGCCCTCTGTAATGTTTCACCGACGTTACTGTTTCAAATTTTCGAGAAGAACACCCACAACACACTTCCCCAAATCGTGCATTAAAATCCCTAATTTTCCTTCCCAAAATCCAACAAATTTGTACAGATTCCTTCGATATAAACCACGCCATAAGCAAAAAGCTAAAAAAAATCCTCATTTTTCACCCAGAAAAACAAACGATTCCACTTTCCAGTTATGTAAAACAACAAGAAGAGACGTTTTACTGCTTCAATTTCAGAAGGAAAAAGAAACACATAAGAAAACCCTAATTTTGTTTCTCCCAAAATTGAAGTCGAAAAAACTGCAAAATCAAACAAACCCTTCACAACCCACAAATCTAAAACGAAAACCCATAAAAAATCGCAAAAAAAAAAAAAGTTGAAGAGAAGAATCAAACCTCACGGATATTAGCCAAACGTCTGGTTTCTTCTTCAATACGACCCAACTGAGCTTGAACCCTTTCCCTAACTTCCAATTTTTTCTTCTCAATCTCTTCTTCTTTAGCTTTAAAAGTAGAAAGAGCAGACCTAGACATCTCTTCGTCTTCTTTAGTCATCAACCCATTGAAGCTCAAGCTCCCTGAAATTTGACCAGCTTGCATCAGTGTTTGAAGCTGTTCACTTGATTGCCTCTGTGTTTGTAGCTGTGTTTGGGTAGTCATTTCTTGTTCTTCCCTCTTTTTCTTCAACCAGAAAAAGCGAAAAACCCTCCTTCTTGCCCTGATTCCTCTCTTTATCTCTCCAATATTTTCTTTCTTTTGCTTTATTGTTGGTAACGGGTGTGTTTCACTTTCTTCTTCTTTTTTCTCTCTGTAGACTGTTTGAAGTGGTGATTGTTATGGAGGAGAGAAGGCAGGCCTTAATGCCAAAGTTATGAAGCCTTGTAGCCCCACCACCGATGAGAGAGAGAGAGAGAGAGAGAGAGAGAGAGAGATGGCGAGAGTGTATGATTATATGTATATATGTATATATATATATACACATACATGGGTGTTTGTATATATTGCCAGCAGAAAAGAAAACATGAAATGACAAAATTACCCATGAACCTTCAACGGGAAGATTATGAAAGGAATGGCTAATACATAAAGTTTCTTTAATATACTTATCAAACTTTGACCCTTCCAACATAATTTGTGTAAACCAATTCTTTTTCTTTTTTTAATTAACTTAGATATCTAGTCTCTTATTCAAATTGATTAATCTCAGAACGATCATCTGCTTTGTAAATAGCTTAGAGTCATCATATTTGAACATCCATAGCCACAAGAGAATTTTTATTCTTCCTTGGATTTGAACATGTGACCTCCTGATACTTTTGACATTTGGAGTCAAAACTCAAACCAATCATTATTTTTCATCATCATCATCATCATATTTTCATATAATTTTATCTATTAAGAGATGTTTAAGATTGCTTATTTGAAACAAGTTATGTTTTTTTACAAAAATCCTTATCAATTTATTATAAGTTATAATTATTTAACTTCTTCAAAAACGTCTTATTACTGGTTTGATACCAGTATACACTGTTTATCTAAACACTCAAAAATGTTTATTATTGGTGTCACATTGGAAGAAGATAATAAGTTGTTCTTATAAGCAATCCCAAACACCCTTTAAGTCACAAGTATTTTTAACAGATTTTTTAAAATACAGATTTTAGGGTTTTTATTTTAACAGACCTCTTAAAACTTTAGTTAAAATGGAGAAAATAGTAAAAGTATTATTAAATTCTTCAAATTTAGAGTAATCTTCAAAATGATTGCTTAGGTAAGAGAAGTGATTTTTATTTTTTTGACCAACAAAAATCTTTTAAATTAAATGTTTACGAGAGACAGAGGTGGAACACAAGCTTTTTAAACGAGGGGGCCGAACCTAAATTTTTTAAATGTGTCATATAAACGAGTATGGTTTGCTTCAATGTAATAGGCATATATGTTCTAGAAAAACACAAAAAGACATTCCCTAGAATTAGGGTTGTGAACGAATCAAACGAACACGAACGGAATTTTTTATGTTCATGTTCACTCGTTAAGAAAATGTGCTTGTTCAAGTTCGTTAATATTCATTCGTCAAGATAGATGCTCTTCTATAACGCAACTCATGGGTGATCTAAATTTCTTCTTATACTACTCACCTTAACTAATATTCTCACACGATTCTTTGTTTATATATATATATATATATATATATATATATATATATATATATATCAACAAACAATTTTTTTTAATTTTTAACTATGTTAAATTCGGATAATGGAACGAGTATGACAGAGAGACCAACTCAAACAATTATTTTTTTTATCATATGTAAACGCTAAAACCTACTTAAGAGAGGAAAAAGCACAGGGGCCATGGCCCCTACAAGCCCCTAAATCCGCAACTTATGAGAGATGAATAATATTTTAATAATATAAATAATGAATTTTCAAAAGATTCTCTATAATTTTTTTAAAATAAAGAACCAACAGTTAAAATCTCTATAAAAAATTATATTCAATTTCAACAAATTCTCTATTTTATAAATTTAATATATATTACGTTATTATAATATTCTTTAGTTTATTCACAATATATATTTTTTGAATTTATATAAAATAATAATATTTTAATCTTATTGATGGAATTAAATAAAATAACAATTTCTCTCATCGAACAAGAAATTTTAGAATAATCTCTGAACTTTGAGTTTTTTCATGTTTTATCCATTCTAGAGAAGATTATAGATAATCTGTTGGAGCAAAAATATAAAGAATAAAACCTTTATTTTATTTATTAAGGAATCTGTTGGAAATGTTTATTGTAATCTTTAAAATGGATAAGCTGTTAGAAATGAACGTAGATTTATTTTGAAAAATCTGTTGACGAAGCTCTTTTAACCAATTTATGAAATTCATTCACTAATATTTTAAGTCTTTTAATTGTGGTCTCAAAACGACGTTTTTCAAAATAATGATATAATTATTTGAGCAACTGATTGATAGTTAAAGTATCTTACCAAAGGGCTTTTGGCCTAACTGTGTGTGAGTCTTTGGCCTCCTACGAGGTCAATGGTTCAAATTTCATCAAATGTGAGAAGAGTGTGTGAGTTTATTTGTGTTATTTGTCGTATATAAATATTATATACTTAAAAAAAAGTATGTTTAGTAAATTCATAAAATAAAGAAAATAAATATGCTGAATATTTTTATAACTACAACATATTATCTACTAAAGATAATCTTCAACATAGAGTATATGTTGTAAATACACTTATAGCATCTCTAACAGATTCTCTAAGATTTTGAAAATCAAGATTTTGGACAAGTTTTTGCTCGGATAAATTATTCAAAACAGATTCTCTAACGATCCACAAAGCTTGAAGACAGTAAGGTTGGTATATCTGATAATGCCAAAACATGGGCCCATGATGTTATGCTAACCACCTATTTGGTATTGATTCTACTTGTTTTTTAACGTCTACTAAAATAAAGTTTATTTGGTTGTTGCTTTGATGGTGTAAATTTTGTCTAATCCGTTCAAAACAAAAGTGACCCGAAGAATATGCAATAAGAAGACATTTCGTGTTCTGTTCAAATGCATTTTAACTGTTGTAGATAGAATGTCATTTTTCACTGATAGAATCTTTACCAGGTTACAAAGTTGTCTTTTTTTTTCCTTAGAATCAATTTGATCGAAACTAAATGTGAAACCATTTTTCTTTGTTAATTATGGATATTCATGTCAACTTACGTACACATCGAGTAATCCCATGGTCCTAGAAAACAATCAGAAAAATTCTCAGTGTCATTGCAGGAATCGAACTGGTGATCTCTGAAGAAATTCTCAAATACCTAAGTTTTATTGTCAGTTAAACTAATCTCACAAGGTTAATTGTCAAACAATTTAAGCACTGATAATGGTAATTATATTTGACATAATCATTTTAGAATAAAAAAACTAAAACAAAAATCATATTTATTTTTAGAGTAAATTACCTTTTTAGTTCCTATGGAGCATAGTCTTTTGAAAATTTCTATTTTCGTTCATGTGGTTCTAAAATTTCAGTTTTCATCCCCATAGTTTATAATTCATTACTGCTTTAGTTTCTATGTTTTAAATTTATTGTTTTTTTTTTCGTTCTTGTGGTTTACAATTCATTTCTATTTTAGTTATTCATACTTAAAAGTAGTGTTTGGGACTCAGGGACGGAAATATGCAAACCATAGAGATGAAAACCAAAATTTTGAAACAGAAATCAACAATTTTAAACAAACCACAGGGACAAAAACGTAATTTGCTCTTAAATATATGTAATTATGTTTCATTAACTACCAAGAAACTCAAAAGAACAAACATTTGATAGAAAAATGTTACCTTTTGTGCATATATTCGTTGTCCGTAACTCGATATGCAAATGCGTCTTATTTTCAAATTTGCAATAACCATTCATTGATATATAATGATTAAAATTTTGTAAAATATTTTTTTTCTTATTAAAATTAATAACATAAATATTTTCATATTGTGAATTATTTTAAAAAAGAATTTTTAAATGATATGTAATCTAAGTATTTTCAATAGCTTCTTTAAAATAGAGAAAATTAACTTTTTGTTCTCTATAACGTTCTTTAAAATAGAAAAAACCCAAAGTTTAGAGAATTTTCTAAAACTAGATGCTAAGAGAGAACACTGATTATTTTTAAAAAATTATAGAGAATCTGTTGGAGATTTTTAGAAAAACTGAATTAGATAAAAAAAAATGAATGATAATAAAAAATGAATATTATGTAAAAGAATGTTAATGAAAGGTATGAAGTGTAAAAAGGGTAGTGGGGTGAATGATCCAGGGAAGCAAAGGGGTGGTGGCATGTGCATGTAACATGATGCATGATGTATGTGGCATGAGGCTGAGGCATGGGGTGGTTGGTACACAATTCCATCTCTAACCTAACTTTGTTCCCTCATCCCCTTCCATGTGGTATCCAACATATATACATATACATTATATATGTTGGATCTTTTATATATATATATATATATATATATATATATATATATTATACATCAATACAATCATTTATATTATCCATAATCGTTGGATTAAAATCAATCAATGGTTGATAACAGTTTCTACAGTTCTTCATTTTTTACAGTTCTCTATCGATTCTATCATATATATATATATATATATATACATATGTGTGTGTATGAGATACATAACTTAAACCAGAGTTTAATACTTCCTACTCAACGAATACTTTCACTCTCTTTCTCTCTAGAATTTTATGGTTTTATAAAAACCGTAAACAAATTATATAATTTTATGAAAATATGTTTGTCAAGTAGTTGAATTGTTATATTATGTCATCTAGACATGAACTGTATGTAAAAAGTGTAAATAACGCGTCATTTAACTATGTGATCAATGCCATTCATATCAAATCTGGCTAAAATATAGTCGAAAGAAGATATAAGTGAGTATTATATGACATTAACATAAAGTCTATTGAGCGTTGTTTTATAGCTCAGTAGACAAATGGATGAAATGACTTTGTACAAATACAAAACATGTCATGAGTTTGATCTAAGGCCCCCCAACTAGCCTCAACTAGGGGTGCTCATGGGTTGGGTTGATCGGGTTGAAGACATTTGAACAACCCAACCCAATGCTTGCGGTTTGAAAAATCTTTATCCAATCCAACCCAAACGAAAGTGCAACCCAACCCAAACCGTACGGGGTGGTCGGGTTAGTCAGGTTGATACTTTGGTAAATTAAAATATTATTCAAACCTTGAATATGTTATTTTTATAACTCATAATTTATTTTCCATCATCAACCATTTGATATAACTATTCCATACTTCTTATGTATATCACATTCAATTAATTTTCTCAATTTACGTATATTTGTTTACAGTTG